TTTTCTTTGTTTTGATTGCAGTTTAACATCTTCTTTTGATATTTTCAGCTGGCTTGGTTCTTTTGTTATCATTGCTTTATATCTGGTTTTAAGTGTACACTACAATGATCACGTTTTTCTTACTCCGGCGCTTAACGATTAGAATATAATGCTTATGAAACTAACTGTTCGTCATTGTGAGATATYGTACATTCACTTTGAATTGTTAGTGATACACTACCTTGAGCTTTTCTCCCTGTCAGTTTGAGAGACGTTTTCAAGGGCGGTTAAAGAGTAGAAATACTAGTTGCAAGCTGTGTGCATTTTTCTTCAATACGCGAGACRTATCAAAGCAATGCAGTAAGTGCAATACAGTCAACACTCGCTATTACGGACACCCTCGGACCGTTATTTAGTGTCCGCAGTAACGAAAGTACGTAATAACGAGAGTTACTTTCAGTCATTTCTTTGTATTTTTCGCCGGGKATTYAGTATTTTACTGTCCGCAATACCGAGGTGTCCGTTGTAACGGGGTATCCGCAAGGTGAGAGTTGACTGGAAAGGTTTTAACTTAATAAAGTTCACTCGCTCTCTGAATGACATCATAACTTGGCTATCATGGCCAAAATCATCATGATCATTCTCTTCGCGTCAGGAGGCACATAAGACCATAATGATCAATGTACACACCGCTAMGTGTAGATATTTGTCTTTTAATCATTATTATCCCGTGTAGTTTATTGTTTATATATTTGTAACAAGTGTATTTACGTAATTCAGCTCCCAAGTTTATCTTAGCATCTGCAATGTTATTTTGTTTTAATAAAGTTCTATAAAGTTCTTTATAAAGCTCTGGGCGGTATGTCATATTTACATATGAACGAGAAACACCAACAGTAGAGCGGATTTCGTATGAGTGGGAAACCGTTACCGCACGGTTACCGCACAGTTACCGGACCTGGCCTTCACAATTTTGGCGAACCAAAGGGGCACTAGAATTTGGTTACAGTACGATTACGGTCACAGTACAGTACCGTCCGTTTCCCACTCATACGAAATCCGCTCTAGTATCAGTGCACACAAATAACTCCAAATCTGTTTTCTTGACATTGCTTAGAATCAAGAGCTGCATCTCTTAATTTATATCTTTCATCATATCTCTCTCCAACTGAGTGTCTGAGGTTCATCTTTAGCGGTACAGTTTAACACTACAATGATGGTTAATGATGGTTTGACATCAAACACAACTAGATCGATAACAACAACAAAAAAAGATCCTACAACAGAACCAAGAAGATTTTCAACTTTAAGGACCAAAGTTCACTTCGATTTCTGATTTTTTTTCTGCACTGCC